TTACTTTCCTGGGGATTCATAATGTTGTGAGTTTGCTTTTTAATAACATTTTGCTGTCAGAGACAGAGAAAATAGAGAAAAAGAAAAAAACAGCAAAAACAAAAGAAAAAGGGAGAGATCTGTCTCATAAAGACTAAACAACTGAAATATCAGAATTACCTTTGAGAATTATTGCATATGATGTTTTATCATGCAATCTACAAACCAAAGTACAGCACAGAAAAGCAAGGAATAAACTGCATTTAATATCCAATGTATTGTTATTTGTTTATTTTTGAGCACTGAAAGAAAAAGTATAATCTTTACTTAAAAAATTAAAGGGTTTCGGTTTCTTTTTCTATCATGAAGCATATAGAAAATGGGACAGGCTACAGGTTCACCCTTATTAGATCTTAAAAACACAGAAATAAAACCTTGTCAAGTGGCCACATATAGTTGTACTGACCATATATGGTCAGTACAACTATTATACAAAGTCCTTTATTATCACTTTATTTAAAATGCAGTCTAATATAAAAGAAAATGGCAACAACGAGCAGTGTCAGATGTACATAAGAAATAAAGCAGCTTTGTCATATTACACAGAAAATTAAAATAAACTGCACAGACACATTTTACATGTATCTACTAACATGCTGCATGTACAAGTGATTTAGGAGTGATTTATGGGTTAAATGATAATTAAATATTCTGGGAGTGTTTTGGATCTTTAATACTGCAATTACTAATGTATACAGTGTCCTTCATCAGATCCTACTCAGTGACACACGCTTTTGTCATGTGGGCAAGGTTAGAACTCTGAATTCAGGTATCAAGTATTTACATGTGAATCTGGTATGTGTATGGTTTAATCACAGATAAATTCTACTCTCTTATTTCAGGGCACTACAATATTTGGGCGATTCAGAATGGTGTGTGTGCGTGTGTGTGTGTGGGAATAATCAGTTTTGCTGTTTGATGCTTTTTTCTATTTACTAAAGTCAAGCTAGAAGTTTAACTCCTTCTCACACATCCAGTAGTAGTTTTTGTTACATTCAGCAGTATCCCAAATGGACCAAGTTGCACTTTGGTACGCACAAGTCCAGAGTGTAGAGGATGAGGATGTTTGTCCGAAGTTGCTAGAAGAAAAAACAAATATGTTTTCAGTGCATGAGGCTTTGGAGTGTTGAGGTTGAAATGCGCCTAACAAATAGCAGAACAGCAGTGGCTCTACTAAGGCTAAATGGTTAATAATCGTTGCTTCTCTGCTGCTCTTAACCAGCTAACTACAATCAAAAAAGGAGTCCTTTGGTGTGTAGCTCTTGCCTCAGTGGGCAATCAGACATTTTATAGTGTAAGATAACAGGATCGATGTGGTGATTTAAGATTCAAAGGGCCTCACTTATAACACAGTTGGCTTCCATCCACCCATTTCAATGTCCACATACTGTTCATGTTGTTCCACTCATATTTGAAGCCGATCCAAAAATGTACAGCCTGTCCATAAGACCTGACAAAATCCTGTTTTGAGGGAAAGTGGTTTTAATATTTTATTCACTTTGGTTGGAGGATGACAATAAAAGAATTCAGACATTTCAGAACATGGGAGTGCAGAACACACCAGAGACTAAATCAAATAATAACTATTGTTGTTGCAATACAAACGAGAGTGGCTTTATTCTGCTAAACATTTTAAGTTTATAGGGGAAAAAGTTTATCTAAATACCTTCTCTGCATCATCACTGATAATCACCAAATGAGCTCCAAGCCTCTCGCAGTTTTGTTTGGCATCCTCCCAGGTGGATTTAAAAGAGGAAAGGCGGTAGCAGCTTGACCTTAATCTTTTCCATCCCGGGGAACATCTTGGAAGGTTTGGTAGCGCTAAATAAACACGACAAGACTGAATCTTTATGAAACGATTTCCATCCCATTTATCACCAAATAAAACATTTATAGCTCAGTTGGTGCAGAATTTTCAATCACATTCATCCATCGCCATAGGTACTGGAATAGATAAGTAATGTTTGAATTTTCTGATTTATTTCTTTTACTTACTAATTCTAACTTTAGCTTAGTTTAGCTAATTTTCACTGAAGTGTTGTTTGATGACATTACACATGTACGTGTCTTTCCAATTTCTAATGCAAGTGGCTTGACTCTTGAATCAGTTTTGTTTTACCTTGATTCAGTCTGCTGTT